TCTCGTAACTCTTCTCATAATAACCAACTTCATTTTACAGAAAACTGAAATTCCTAAAGATTAATATAAGGTGAAACTGGGACTAAACCGTAAGTCTCTATGACTCTGACTTTTCACTCTATCATAGTACTTAACTCTTCTTTTTATAAATACAGTAATTGGGGTTAAGAGATATTAAATGATTTGCCCAAAGTCAAACCATTTTCTAATGGTACAGATGTTGTCTCCCAGATGAATGCTCTTTGACCATCACCATTGCTAAACTCTCTTTTACACTTCCTGCTCTGTCATCTCTGTTCAATCTGTAACTAGCTTAGGTTGTTCTTTTCTTCAAATTTTTTCTGATATCTATTATCTTCTATCCACTTTCTTGCCCTTTGCTTTAATATTATAGCTTGGGCCCTCATCACTGATGCACAGATTACCCTAACAGCCTCCATCTATCCCTCCTCAACCCATTTACATATAAGCTAGTCACTTCTTTTCTCTGAGGCTCTTATATATAAACTATAAATAATAAGATATCCACAGTACAGAATCGTGAAGATTAAATAAGCTCACTTATCATATAGAATAATTATCAATAAGATTAATAATTATACACTGTAAAATCCTATTGAAATGTAAACTATTATTATCTTAAGATATATGAGGGCAGACACTAAAACTTACATTTATTTTACCTCGGCTTTAGGCATCTGGTATAAGTTCAAATGCATACTTAGCTGGCTGATTTCTTGCCGATCTTCCATACGCCTACTAACGTTATCTAAGACTAATCTGATCAGGTGCGATCTCCTTTATGATAAAGCCTGAACACCAAAGCTATGGTATAATTAAGCATGGTCTTATTAATTATATAGTGCATAGTATGACTAAATCCTGTATAATCAAAGTAGAGATGCTCCTGATGAAAAACCCTATCTTCTGCCACAGAGAATCTCCTAACATCATACTATCCTTTCTATGACTGTCTAACTGGTGAACTCCTATCCATCATCCATCAAAATGCAGCCAAAATGTCACCACTTTGGTAAAGTCTTCCTGACTCTCTCCTCTGCTTGCCGGCATCTCATATGATCCCATAAATTTAATTACCCATTATCATAATAGCATTCATTCCCCAGTTCTATATTGATTATATCATAGTACCTCCCCAAGTTTGCGAGGAAATATATTTCTGGGCAAATAAACAGTTAATGAGAGGAAAGTTCTTCTTTATAGAAGAAGAACTCGAGCTTATCAGTGCAGAAGAAGTAAAAAAAAACTGGAATATAACCATTTTGCAAACCTCTTATGAAAAAAGTGACTAGGAAAAAATCATCAATGGATACAAAACAGTGGTTCTCAATCCTGAGTGCCCTTTAGAATCACTTGGGAGCTTGTCAAATATACCTCTGCCTAGGTCCCACACCCAGAGATTACGATTCAGTTGGTCAGGGGTATAGTCTCACTGGTGTTTTTTAAAGCTCCCAGATGATCCTAATATGCAGCCAAGGTTAAGAATCACTGCCCTAAACTATGCTGTACATGGGGACCTTTCTAATAAGTGGATCAGGATGATAGCGCTGAATCTACTGATTAACCTTATAGTTACTAAAAATGGGAGACAACCAGACATTATGTGTCTCCTTATACAATGTAATAGGAAGAACAAAGTACCAGTTATCTGAACCAGAATCTAATCAGGGCTCTAGATCTATCTATCAGTCTACAGAAAATATGGGGTCATGTAATGAGACAGTAAGAGGATGTAATTGGCCAAATCTAAAATGTGGGAACATCAACAGGACAAAATATCATGGTCTCTTTAACAAATAAACAGCATGGAAAACGTGTGTCTCTGTGTGTATGTGTGTTTATGTATGTATAAGAAACTGTTAAAATTAAGCGACTCAAGAGACCAAATGCCATGTGTAAAAATACATATTTAATGAACAGGTGAATGAATGAATGAATGAATGCTAATTAGAGAGAAAACACCCATCATTATAAACGATGAATTATTAAATCTTGTACTCTGAAAAGCAGGGCCAGATGTGGAAAAGGATGCAGAAGCACAATACTTTTGTTATGTGAATTAGTGAAATATTTATCTGTTTCTGTCATGGTCACATAGGACATTTTCTAAAATATTTCAATGTACTTAATGTTTGCTTTTTAATTTATATTTGTATTTCCTTAAAATTTTGAGTAAAGAGAAAAATAGAAACAAATCATTATGGGTCAAATATAACCACTGTTTTTCTATTGGGGATGAGATACAGTTGTTCTGTATTAGAGCTGTCTGACAAAATTTTCTGTGATGATAGAAATGTTACATATCTGTGTTGTCTAAAACTATAGTCAGTAACCATACATGACTACTGGGCGCTTGAAATGTGGCTAGTGTGACTGAGGAACTGAATTTTAAATTTTTTAAAATTTATATAATTTAAATCTAAATAGCCACAGGTGGCCATGATCAGACAGCACAGTTCTAGATGACTATAGCTCTCCTTTCTATCTGCAATATTTTCCCCCTTCCTTTTGACCTAATTAAATCACCACATCCTCTCTTATCAATACAAGATCTTGAAGCACAATGTACCTTTCCTTTCTTACATGTATTACAATTGCAATTTTACCTTGATTTGTATGACTGTTTCATTAACTTCTATTTCTCCAACCTGACTCTTTAGGAGGGAGTTTGCAATGTTCACTATTGTACTGCTGTCACTACAGTGACAATCAAATATTTATTAAGTAAATATTACTATTAGATAACATCATGTAGTTGAGTTTTTGTGATATATGAAGGCTTTACATTTCTCCTAGCTCCATGTGATTTGATCCAAAATTTAGAGCATCCTTTAACACACACATAATATACATACAAAGTGGAGAGAACCATACTATGGACCCCCAGGTAAATATCACCTAACTATAGAAATCAGTAATTTACTGATACCACTCGTTTTATACACACCCTTGCCCCTGCCTTTACGCCTTGTGTTATTCTGAGGTAAATCCCAGATATCACTTCATCATATTATTATACATTTTAACACATGTTTCTAAAACACAAGCACTCTAATTTTTATAAATGTAGCACCGTTTACATATAAGTGACCATTATCATAACTGAAACAAGAATCACTATTTATCCAGTGTTCAAATTTCTTCAACTGTCTGAAGATTTAAAAAAAAATAAACGCTTGAAGAAACTGAGTTATTATTCTTAGGGTCTCTCACACCATGAATCTGGTTGACTTAAACCCCTGTGGTGTTGTTTAACAGAATTTTGTTCCATATTTCCTAAAAACCTGGAGTTGGATCTAGAAATTCGATTTGATTCAGCTTCAATTTTGTTAGAAAGAATACTCTGTAGGTGGTGTCTTAACATCCTCTAAGTACATAATACCTCCTTGTATATCTTTATGGGATGTTAGCAGCTATCAATGATTATTGTCTGATAATAATGATACTCTAATCATCTTTTTTCCATTTATTAGTTGGAATTCTTCCTCAGGGAAAAACTATCTGGTTAATCGAAGTTTATATGTGCAGAACAAGTTATATATTTTTTTAGAGATAAGGAAGCTAAAGCTCAGAATTTCTGACCTGAACAAAGTTACACAGCTGGTTAATGGCAAAGCCAAAATCAGGCTTCAGGTCTTCTGACTCTGAGCCAAATGCTCTTTTCAGTATACCATTCGACTGGTCAGATTAGAGAATAGGAAAAAAAGTGTCAAGCTGGCTCAGTGTAAATATGTACATGCTTAGAATTTAAATCTAGTTTTAAACATTCAATTCCATTCTTTTCTATTATTTAAATTATTGAGAAATCACAATATGAAAAAGTTCAATTGTTTTCACCTCTGCCTAATATATTCTTTTTCTCTACATTTTAATCTTAGGAAGTAAATACTTTTCTAATAGAAAATTACTACCTTATTGCATATAAACCCCATCAAACCAAGATTCTGTAAACATTACTTATAGGTAGGAGACTAAAAGGATAATTATACTATAGGATCCACCCTAAATATACTGAACATTTCATAACCACATTTAATTAACTTATATGATTTCCAATAGGAAAGACTGAAGCTAAGGTCAAATTCAAGTTTAAAAAGTACTGAGTACCGGGACTTCCCTGGTGGCGTAGTGGTTAAAAATCTGCCTGCCAATGCAGGGGATACAGGTTTGGTCCCTGGTCCAGGAAGATCTCACATGCTGCGGAGCAACTAAGCCCGTGCACCACAACTACTGAGCTTGTGCTCTAGAACCGTCGAGCCACAACTACTGAGTTTGCGTGCTGCAACTACTGAAGCCCTCGCACCTAGAGCCCATGCTCCCCAATAAGAGACCCACTGCAATAAGAAGCCCGCGCACCACAATGAAGAATAGCCCCTGCTCGTCGCAACCAGAGAAAGCCTGCGTGCGGCAACCAAGACCCAATGCAGACAAAAAAAAACTCAATTAATTTTTTTAAAAACTGTAAAAAAAAAAAAAAAAATTGTAAAAAAAAAAACTTAAAATAAAAAAAAGCACCACTATGGATCAGGTGCTGGTGCTAGAGTCAGAGGATATGAAATCAAAGTCAAAAACATGTACTTCTAACCTCTGGGACTAAGCTCATCTAGGCTATACTCCTTATCAAAGAAAGTTAAGTCTCAGTGGCCTCCTACACAATTATTCAATATTTTTTATGAAAGTAAGACTTCAAAGAGTCTTTCTAAAACATAATACAAAGATCTAAACTCAAAAAAATTATTCTAAAGTTTCTTAAATTACCGAGGACAAAAATTATATTGATAGATACTAACTCTGGTTTTATGAATTCTCAATGGTAAGATCGTTTTATTTCAATAATACAGCACTTATAGTACTCCAAAATACTCTTAGAGATAAAACCTAGATCTCAAATTACTTGTTTAAAATGAAAAGTGTCCAAATCTGTCCTGTTTCTCTTTCCTAAGTTTGGGAGATTGCTTGTAGGAAAAGGAGACATGTACCTTTCCATGACAGCCAGGCACTCCTTTCTCCAGGTAAATCGACTCCCTCGTCGCAGTCGGAAGGTGCCAGATGTAGCTGAGACTGGGGGAGGCGTTTGTCTCCATTCCGGGTCCTCTATTGGAATGGGCGCGGGTCTCATACTTAGCGTAGCTCCTGAAATAAATGAGACTCTTTTGGGCAAATATCTTGCAATTTACTAAAACCAATATGACAAATATATCATGAAATCAACAATAAACTTTTGCCCCTTCACTGGAAATTGCAGGCCCAATACATTTGGTATTTATATTTTAAAAAAATTATTTGACCAAAATAAAAATCCAAGGAGACAAAAACTCTTCCTTAAAAAGTCCATCTATTTTACTTTACTTTGCTTATTTTATTTTATTTTATTTTATTTTGCCACGCTGCGTGGCTTGCAGGATCCTAGTTCCCCGACCAGGGATCGAACCTATGCTCTCAGCAGTGAAAGTGCAGTGTCCTAACCACTGCACCACCAGGGAACTCCCCCATTATTAATTATTTTAAATGTCATTTTTTTCAGTTAGTCATTTGTCTTTTATCTTTGTTTATGTCAATTTTTGAAACAAAGCTCAAAATCTATCTCTTCAGGGGAACAAGGACATACGGTCTTTGGCCCAGTGACAACCCTTAATCAGAGTATATTCCTCTGAAAAATTTCTCTTGAAATTCCTATTGACAGTTTTAATCTTTCTGAACAATATATCCTACACGTTCAGAACCTTTCATTACCATTCAAAAGACTTCTTGTTGTTGAGAAAATGGAGCCCTTTAATCAATGTATGCAGGTAGGAGATGAATTTAAAATAACACTAATTGTTGCAAACTCTTTAAAAAAAAAGTCAAATATAGCATCAAAAGAAGAGATGATATTTGATATGTTTTTAGTCTATTAACTAATTCAGATCTCCATAAGTCTACTACCTGTTAATGTTATACTATTTTTTTACCTCTTGAATGTAATAAAACCAATGGAAAAAAATGTACAATTGAGATATTTTACTAAATCAGACTAGACTTTTCTCAGCCTGAACTGGTGATAATGCATGTATTCATATATTTCTTTCTTCATAACAGGAATTATACTCTATTTATTGTACCTTACAATTAATACCAAGGGTAGTGTTTCTACTTTACTACACACAGATTTGTTTCTTGATGTCCCCTTAATGGCTACATCTTTATATGCACTGTCTCATACAGATGTCCAATATTTCAACCGATCCCAATTTTCCTTTCCAAACCTGTTGTCCTGCATTCTCTCCCATCCAAGTAAATGGCATCCCTATTCTTTAAATTGCTCAGCTCAAAAATCTCAGAATCACCTTTGCCTCTGCTATTTTTTCCCACCTACTATATATCTAATGCACAGGCAAATCCTGTCAATTTTATCTTCAAAATATATCCAGAATCAGATGAATTTATATTACCTTCACTGCTACCACTTTAGAGTAAGCCAGCATCATCTCTCCTAAGCATAATTCCCTGGGATAGGTTTCAAGGATGGCCCTTCACAATAAGTCACACCTCCTGGTAATCATGCCCCTGAATCTGAGCTGGTCCTGTGACGCCTTTTGACAACATGGACATAGTTTGAGGCTAGGTCAGAAGAAGCTTTGCAACTTCTGACTAGATCTCCTGGAGTGCTGGTTCTGGGGGAAGCCAGCTGCCATATAAGAAGTATGACTACCCTGAGACCACGATGTTGTAAGGAAGCCAAAGCTAGCCATGTGGAGTGAAAGATGCCCAGTCTGCCTCCAGGTGCTCCTATGAAACCCACCCAGGCGCCAGACATTTGAGGAAAAAAGCCAGTTTGGACATTCTAGCTGCAGCAGACACCATGTGGAGAAGTGTAGAACCCAGCTGACAGAAATAAGGCCCTAGACATACAGCCCTAATATAGTTGTGTGGTAGCCAGCTTCCAAGGTGGCTTCTAAGGATTGCCAACTCCTGGTATTCACCTCGTTGTACCAGGATTAGTTTATGTGACCAACAACATATGGTAGAAGTAATGATATGCCACTTTCAGGGATTAGACTGTAGAATACACTGTGGTGTCTGTGTTGTTGCTCTGGCTCTTAGATCACTTGCTCAGGGGAAAACTAGCTGCCATGTAGCAAGAACACTCAGCAAGCCAATGGCCAGGCCCATGTGGAGGACCTGCTATCTCTGGCCAATAGGCAATAACGACCTGGGGCCTTCCAAGACTCATGGGAGTGACCTTAGAAGCAGATTGTCCTGCCCTGGTGACCGCAGACCTGGCTGACAGCTCGACTACAATGTCATGAGAACTCTGAGCCAGAACCTCCTTAGCTAAGCTGCTCCTGAACTCCTGACCCACAAAAATTGTGAGATAATAAATGTTTGCTGTTTTCAGCGGCTAACCTGTAGGGTTACTTGTTACACAATAATATAGAACTAATATCAGACATCACAACCACCTCCAGTTGCTTATTTCCCCAATTCCCTGACACACTGAGTATTATTAGTGTGTTATTAATTATTCACATTTATAAATTTGGCAGGCAAAATATTCTCTTTAATATATAAAGATTTCACTATTAGTAAGAATGAGCATCTTTTCCTGTTTCTGACAATTACTTCTTTTGTGAATTTATATCTTTTGTCCTTTTTTCTTTTGAGTTATTCCTCTTATTGGTGTGTAGATACCATACCAATTGCTAGTCATATAGATTGCAACTATTTTTCTCCAGCTTGTCATTCATCTTTTTATTTATGTTTCGAGATCTTAATTTTTGTACAGTCAAATCTGTTAATCTGTTCTTTTATGGTCAATGCATTTTATATAACTCAGAATATTTTTACAGTTTTCACTTTTGTTTGAACTCTTAATAGATATATGATTTCCTGTCATGTGTGATGTAAAGTAAATATTTGACCTCTTCCTCAAATGGGCAAGTGTGTCACCAACACATTAGAGACCTACTGGCTTAAAAGGTGTGGCACATTCTGGGGCTTCCCTGGTGGCGCAGTGGTTGAGAGTCCGCCTGCCGATGCAGGGGACACGGG